GAACCGGTTTTAATCGGGTTTAACATATGAAAAATAAAACCGTTTCAAACTCTAAACCTCTACTTCTATTCTATCCTTACCTTAAAATAATACTAAAATTTAATTGGCTAATAAATATATTACCTGGGAGGAGGGTAGAGCTCTATAGTAAATGAATATTAGGTAATAAATGTCAGAGACCTAACTGCTTAACAATAAAAGTAAATTATAGTAAAAAAGTATTTGAATTGCAGTATTTCATGTTTATCTTAATGTTTGTATTGTATTTTTTTTTTTTTGACTGCACTCTTTGTAGTTGGTTTTGTAAAATGATTCATTTTAACTCTGCATAAATTAATTTACCGCGTTCAAAAATATTAAATGATACGATTATTATTCATTATTTATAAGATCTAACATTTATTGGTACTAGTGAATCGAGTCACTTTCATAAATTACGACCAAAGCCATTCATTAGTAATATTACAAATATAATGCATAATTCATATCAGTAGTATGTGAATCCTTCATCCTAAGGCTAAAGTACATTGTAGATGTAAAAGAGTAATCAAATATAGAGGACAGAATCATCTGGAGCTACACCACTTTGATTTCGAATTCTTTTATTTGTGAATGATGATTCTGTTCTCAGCAATGGCATGATAAGAAATTTTTAGTACTTTGTATCCTAAATGTATGTCACCCATTAATAATTATATTTGAAGAGGAACCATAATGGTCTTCACAAAGTTCTCGAACTTAGTTTGCACATGATGTGCGTTGTGTAAAACAATGTGATGTTCTGCAATAAGACATACTGTATATTCCAATACGAGCACTAAAGCCTTGATCGTGTCATCAAGGAAATTCATTATACCCTGCACAAGCATATATTTCAAACATTCTTGAAATCCTGCAATAAAAATATTCAATGTAATTTACAACATTTTAGGAAATTACAAATCAAGTCAAATGAATCAAAGTACAATTGATAAAAACTTTGATATATAGATCAGTTCAATTATAAATGAAAGTTTTTGTAAAGCCTTGACACGATGAGCAAGACGAGCAAGACGAACAGGTGTTGAAAAGATAATTTGCTGAGTAAAAACTGTGCCCTTTTAAGAATAACATCGTTCAAATCACAGTTTTAAAATCACAGTTTTAAAATCACAGTTTTAAAATCACAGTTTTAAAATCACAGTTTTAAAATCACA